TGTGGTGCTGAGGATCGAACCCGGGCCACAGGGGAGCGCGCTACCGCTTGAGCCACATCCACAGCCCCATAAATCTTTCTTAAAGTAGTAATGAATGCACCTCTTCTAGACCTTTATATTGTGGAGAAGAAGGTCTTATTTGGAAAATCCAGCATTCTAGTTTCTCTAAAAATTTTAGTCACATAATCAACAGTAAGCCAAGGAATATCAGGCATTTCCAGCTCATTCACAATTACATAATTTGATCCTTATTTCAGCCAGTCAACTTAATAAATTATTAGCACATTATTTTTTTAGCAATTTAAACTGCTACATGAAATTCAGCATATCTGCTTAACCAGCCAATATCAATAGGATAAGCCTGGTCTAATTTTATGTTTCTCCTACCATTATCCCACATGCTTAAAATCCATTCACATACATGTTCCTCAGACCTCTGTTTGTATACATTGTAAAACTCAGGAAGGTCCCTTGGTGTGATGCAGTTCCTCATAGTTCACACTTTATAACTCTCCTTAGGAGCCTGCTTAGATTTGGGTCTAGTTATAGATCTAGAAGCAAAAGTGGGTGATAAAGGTGGGTCCTAAGGAGTACCAGCATTGTCTGGCTGGGCAATATCATCAAGAAAGTTCCTTGTTTTTTCCACAGGCAATGAAGAATCCATTCTTTCAGAGAGATGAAGAGATCAATACCAGAGTGTGTAGTTGGGGGTGGAGATAACACTGGCATTAAGGACTGGAAAGTCACTTCCTCTAGCAAATAGACGTAATAGAATGTAGGAATTTCCCCAGCCTATTCAGTGTGCTCTCACCTGTTCTCGAAATTACAGAATGTCCTTTCTTTTTTCCCCCCAGCAGTAACTTTACTTTCATTGCAGACACTGTTTATGGCTAAGAGCTAAAATTGCATCGTAATTCAATCTATGACAGGTTGGGGGTTTATGATCAATTTTCAGCAAACCCCATTCCCATAACTGGAAGAGAGAAGTTTCTCCTTCAGTACACACTAAGAAGGCTTTAGATTGCATATGCACACCTAGAGCCGAAAAAAAAAAAATGAGTTCCTGAGCTACTTTTTTTTGTTATTGTTCAGTGAAGAAGTAACCTGGGAACATTATTATATTCCTTAGTTTTCCAGAACTGTGAAAAATATCATTTGTAG